GCCCCGAGTGAGCCCCCGTGCCACGACAAGGCTCTCCACGCACGGGGGTCTGCACACGCACTTTTTTTTTTGTTTTACGTAGGAGGAGAAAATCTTCTTGAACCCCTTGCCGATGGGTGTCTCGAAAGGGTCCCCTTCGGCAAGGGGAAGACCCCCGACGGCCCGTACCGTCGGGAGTGCCGGATTCAACCATCTCGTGATCCCTGGAGTACAAGGTACCCCAGGGACGCACCGAGGCGGCCGCCTACCGACTAAAAACTCCCCCTAAAGCGCACTACCGCCCTAGCCTCATGGGGGACAGTCCGGAACCGCATTTCAGCATAACCTCGGACTGCCCCCCAGCGTTGGAGTCTATACTCCCTACCTCGTTGTGCGGGTTCTCCGCTAAGATGCTAATCTAGCTTACTCTATCTAGGTCGTAACCTAGCCTTATGCTATTAAGTCTATACTATTAAATCTATTAAGTCTATATATATATATATACGGTATATCCAATTGCCGCATTGTTCCTCTCACACATGATCATTGGAACTTATCAACTATTATTTACAATTATGTACATCCTCTGTGAGCTCCTCCCACAAGTTGTTCACTGGAGCTATGCCCATTTAGAGGGGGGCTAGTGCTTCCGCTCGCTATCGAGCCGCTTGCTCTCGGGCAGCTTGCTCGCGCTCTCGGTCGCGCTCCTCCTCCTCCTTGCGCCTCATGATTGCTTCGCACAACGAGGCGAAGACGGCCCACGCTTCGGGCGAGCGCACGATGGCCCTCACCACCGCCCTGACCGTTCTATCGACCCCTATAATGTCCAAGAGGTCACCCCTCTGTTCCGCCCAGGCCGGGCAAAACAGGAGGGTGTGACCGGCCGTATCGTGGGCCGCGCGACAAAAAATGCATATTGGGGTGCCCATACGCCCTATCCTATACAGGTAGGCGTTGAACACCCCATGCCCCGTCAGTATCTGGGTCATGCGGTAGGTGAGGGCCCCGTGAGCCCTTCCCACCCACGCTTCCAGATCGCCGCCCATGGCCTCGCGCACCCCCGCGCCCGGGCCATTCGGAGGCAGCTCCTCAATACGCTTGACCCATCTGCCGATTGATCTGCGGCGCTCCAACTCCAACAGAGTTGCGCTCGCACCAGGGGATATCGCGCCATCCCGGGCGATAATGTCCCGTCTTCTCATATATGACCGTCTAAGACGGTTGGTCGCCAGGTTGAAAGGGACCATTCCAGCCAGAATGGCCGCGGCCTCGCCCGAGACGGTACGATACCCCCTGATGACTCGAAGCGCCAGATGACGCTGTAGCCTCCGTACCGCTTTCTGTATACCGCGATCTTCGGCCGCCGTCTGCGCCCATATTGGCGCACCATAAAGGACAACCGACATGACGATCGCGGCGTAGGTTCTTCTCCTACGCTCGCCAGGGCCCCCCACGTTGGCCATCAGTCTGGCGAGGGATGTCGCCATCCCCCACGCCTTCGGTACCAACGCGTTAAAGTGGTCCCGAAAGGTCCACCGCGAGTCCAGGGTTAAACCCAGGTACTTCACGGTGGAGCCGATCGGAACCCCCGCCCCGCCTATTCTAACCACGGCCCCCCGCGGAATATCCTCCATCATGAAGGCGATAGCCTCCGTCTTGGCTATCGAGACCTTCAAGCCCAGCCTCTCAATAGCACGTACCACCGCGGTGGTACCCAGCTCCGCCCTTACGCGTGCTCCCTCAAAATCGCCCGCGCTCGCCGTCACCAGAGTGTCGTCCGCGTAGCACAATGCAGCGCACCCAATCGGCATACCCAATCTAAGGATTCCGTCATAGCCGATGTTCCACAGGGTCGGCCCCAGAACCGAACCCTGCGAAACCCCGCACGTGACAGCCCCTCGGACTACCCGTTCTCTGCGGTCCACGTACGCTAGTCCCCGTCCCGAGAGGTAACTATGAAGGATGCCCCGGAGGTATCCCGGGACACCCTTCTCCTCCAATGCCCTCCTGATAACGGGCCACGGGAGGGAGTTGAAGGCGTTCGCTATGTCTAACGACACCGCGACCACCACCCCCCCCCTCCCGTGTGCCCTCTCTGACGCGTTCCCGCAGGGTCCAGATGGCGTCCACGGTGGAGCGCCGCTTTCTGAACCCATACTGTCCATCGGCTATGACTTCCTCCCTTTCCATGTACGCGTGCAATCTGCCAACCACGACCCTCTCCAGAAGCTTTCCCGCCTCGTTCAATAGGCAGATTGGCCTATACGAGGACGGGGTCCCCTCTGGTTTCCCAGGCTTCTTCAGAAGCACTAACCTGGCCTCTTTCCATTTGTGCGGGAAGTGCCCCCCCCCCCTGAGACATTCGGTGAAGCATCTGGCCCACAAAGGGGCCAGGTGCCTCACCGTGCTTTTGATTACTCCTCCTGTTATGCCGTCAGGCCCCGGAGCCTTTCCAGTTTTGACCCTTGTGCAAGCCTCGAGTATTTCCACTGGCGTCACGTTCTAGTCGTCAGTCCACTCAGCGACTACTTCCCCTTCCGGCGGGGTCAAATCCGCGGGGAAGAGTGTCGCCACTATCTTTTCCGCTGTCTCAGGGGGAAGCACCTCCAGCACGGATGCGCCTCCCAAATGTAACTTCCGCAGGACTATCCTATAAGGCGTGCCCCAGGGATCCCGCTCAAGATCGTCGACCAGCTCTTTCCAAAGCTTCGCCTTGGATCGAGCGATCGACGACCTCAGCTCCCTGCGCCTGTCCCTAAGATCTCGCCAGAGGGCCCGCATTCCCTCCGGCGTCACGCTCGCACACGCTCGCGCACGCGTCACCTTCCTCCTACAACGATTGCAGGCACGGCGCAGCTCTGCAATTTCCTCACACCACCAATACGCGTGGGGCTTTCGTGGGAGCCCCCTCCTCGGCATCGCTGCATCGGATATCTCGTGCAGTATCCCATCCAGTCGATCGGCTCCTCCAGCGGCGTCTTCCGGGATTCCACACCAGGCCGAAAAAACCGCCGCCGCCTCCATCAGGTCGGCATCCACCTTGCTCGTCACCCATCTGGGGAAGGTCCTCAATGCGGTTTTCCCGACCTCCGGGCCAATGATCCGAGCACCAACCTCCATCGTCACGTACAAGTGGTCGGAAAGTGACTCTATCTCTCCAGCGACCCTCCATCCTGTGGTCGACCTGGCCGCCGAGCGAGAGGCCAACGTCAGGTCAACCCTAGAAGAACCACGCGGGTGCAAACACGTAGGCTCCTCTCCCTCGTTCATCACCTGCAGGTCCACAGAAGCCAGCCACTCCAGGAGGAGATCACCCCTCCTGTTGCGACCCCCCCTGTCCCAGGCATAAGCACGAGCGTTAAAGTCACCAGCTACGATGACCGGGCGACCCACCACTTGCGCTAGCCTTCCCTCAAGTTCGCTCATGTCCGTTAAGAAGTCCTCATCGCTCAGACTGGGGGGGAAGTAGCAGGACACCACTACAGTGTTCCCCCAGTCCACGGCCACGAACCTCCTCCCTCTCCAGAGGAGTGAACAGGGTATCCTCGTCTGGGCCCACTGCCAGGTGATGGCGGCAGAAGGTGGGCTGTCCAGCGAGGACACCCAACGCCCGTCGTCCGGAATCCTATTAGGCTCCGATATGGCGACTAATCCGAGTCCCAGCTCGCCACTTACTCTGGCCACCATCTCCTGCGATGGTCTAGACCGATTGACGTTAATTTGCGCCAGTCTAGCCATCGCAGGTCTCCATGGCCTCCTCGCGAGTCCCCTCTCCAGGGGTCGGAGCTCCCCGATCAGCTCCATCTGCTACCACTTCCGCAGGTGTTGAACTTGTGTCCTCGCGCACTTTCAGCCCCGGTCCATTATATGGGACGCATTCGGGCGCTCCAGCCCGATGTCCAGAGGGCAACCCCCTTCCCGCGCATACCGGGCACTTTGGGGGCTTCCGGCAGCCCGCGGCTCTATGACCGTCCCCACTTCCGCACTGAAAGTACCAGGTGGTGCGGTCCACCTGGCTCGCGCAATTCGTCCGGGTGTGCCCCACAGCAAAGCATCGGAAGCATTGCAGCCTCCGCTTTGCCAGGGGCACCACCCCAGCCATCGTCCAGCCCACTCTCATGCGGCCAGCACTTAATAGTTTATTGGCGCATGCCAAAGGGCACTGCACCCACACCGCACTTAAACCGCCTCTCCCGGGCCTGAGGGGTCCAACTCTAACTTCTGCCATTTGGGCCTGTCCGTTTTTGGCCACCGCCTCGGCCACCTCTTCAGCGGAGACCGATTGGTCGATGTCCACCAGCCTGATCTCCGCCCTCCGCATGGGCCTAACAACGTGCACTTCCTCTTTAAACTGGCTTTCCGAGAGGACATCCTTCAGTCTGCCCACTAGGGCCTCCGCTTTAGCTCCGGCCTCTTCGCCCCCCGGTATCTCTATTAGGAGGCCGCCTGCCTGCGCCCTCCTAATACGCGTGTTCGATATGCCGAGGTCCTCAAGCGAAATCTTGCTTCTCGCAAGCTTCATGACCTCGGCATATGAAGCGCTGCCCGGCCTGTCCTTGTCCTTGTTCTCGCACCGAACGAGAACCGCCGCCGTTCGAGGTGCCCGGAAAACATTATCCCTAACCGCAGGCACTCGTCGTCCCGTGTTTCCCGACTCCCTCACGCGAGGGCGGGTCGGGGCGTTAACGGGCGCAAGGCCTTTCGGCGTCCCGCCTCGCGCACTCACTCCACCTACACTATTATTAGCGCCGGTCCGGCGCACTCCGGCACCAATATCCCCTCCGGAAGGTGGGGGTACCGTGGTTCGTCCTAGGTCTCTCTTATCTCGCGTCTCGGTGTTCACGTTCGCATCGGAGGTCATTCCTGCCTTCTCTTTCTTTCGCATCCTCTTGCGCGCTTTCTTTGATTTGGCCTCGGTCCAGGCCTCGCCTTCGACCGGGTATTCCACTGAGGGGGACGGGATCTCCCGGTCCCTGCTGTCTCCTGGTCCGTCGCCTCCGCCGATGTCTTCCTTCACTCCGCTTCTAACCTTCTCAGCATACGTGTCTCCACGTTTCTTAAGGCTAGTTCCTCCTGTCTCTCTAGGTCCAAGAGCTATTTGCCCCTCCTCGTTAACCTTTATTAGGCGAGTTAGGCGACCTATCCTCTAACCTTCTCCGGACCCCACCGATCGATGGTCGGTAGGCCGGGGGGAGGTTCTCCATTACCTTGTCAGAGTCGACGTCCCTACTCCTCGTAGAACGCTCCCTCCTGTCCCGCCCTCTGGTCCTTATTGGGGAGCCCTCGTCCCGAGTCTCCTCCCCAGGAGAAAGGACAGATCTCCTGTCACGGCCCCTGTCCCTCATCTCCTGGACCGTGTTCTGTAGCGCGTTTATTTGCTCCCGCATTGTAGTCCTCTCCCGTCGGAGAGTGTCAACCTCCTGTCTGAGTTTAATTACTTCCTTTTCTAGGGCCAAGTTATTGGCCCTAATTTCGTCACTAGGTCCCGTGCCTTTGACGATTTCCGCCACTAACTTCTGTACGGCGATCTTAGCGACGTTTACGCCAACCTTAATTTGTCGCCGCAAATCACCCTTCATGCTTTGGGTTCTTCGCTCTGCTTCCCCCGCGGTCTCCAAAACCCTCAGCGTCTCCGCCATAATTGACTTTGGAGACATCTGGGGAAACAGCGCCGTGACCTCCTCTATAGCGTCTTTTTGATGGGACGAGAGCCTGTCGTCCAGCTCGCACTCCACGAGGCCCTTCCGCCTTTTCATCCCGTGACCACCTCTCTTGGCCAACTTGAAAAAGTCGACCCTGTCCAGCTCGTCATCCTCGAAATCCATCTGTTTCGAGCCGAGCCTGGACAGGGCATGCGACCCAGGGCAGTTCATGCCCTTAGGCTTCCGCCCCCTCTTCTTTCCCTTCCTAGGGACGCATTCAAACGAGGAGGACAAACCCTCCTCCGTGTCTTCTACGGAAATAGAGGGCGTCTGTTCTCCTCCAGTGCTCTCCTCCTGTTCGGAATCCACCTCAATTACGCTGGTGGGGCTGGACGCCGCTTCACCCACATCGATTCCTCTTCCGGAACCGCCGAAGACCGGTGTACCCACGGAGGCGCTCTCTGCTATAGGAGAATTTACAATTTCTCCTTCGACGACTCTTATCCTCGTTTCCTTGGGATATCCTACCGTTCTTGATCTACCCCTTCGTGGTAGTGGTGCCGCTCCTCTCGCCGAGGTCGGCACATTCCCAGCCAATCCTACCGGAGAGGTATTCGCCGTAATTGCCACTACATTTGTCCTATGTAGTTGTAGTCGCAATTCTTTCCTCTGTTTCTTCGGGGTAGTCTCCATTTTCGCCCCTGCTTCCGCAGAGGTAGACGGCACACTGTCCTCATCCAATGTTCCTCCTCCTTCTCCTATGTCCTCCCGGACGGTAGCATGTTCAGCCGTGGAGCCCGTCGGCAACCCCACGGCTAGTCCTTCGCTGGATTCCCCCAGGCCCGAAGCCACGGGGGTAGATCGCCCGGGGGCAGGGACTGTACCCCCGGGAAACCGTGACGGGGTTCCGAAGCCCCGTCGTGATTCTTCCTTTTCGTTTTCCATATCATAAATTGTTCGGTTGTCGGCGAGTAATACGGCCGGGAGGCTCGCCGACAATTCCCCCCGGTTCGTCACCTACACAACAACGCGCTGCGCGTCCTCTCCTCCGGTGCAGGGAACATAAAGCGAAAGGCCCCAGG